AAATTATAACGTTGACGCATTTAAAAAGAAAAGTTCATATAAACTCTTGTACTTGTACGTGCCCTTACTTTTCTGCTGCGGGCACGCAAAATTTATATTCGATAAATTTTGTTAATTTGTTAATCAAAACACCATATTTTCAGTATTTCATAAGGGTCTCAGGTTTTAGTAGCAAGAAGATTTACTTTTACATGCCCTTACTTTTCTGCTGCGGGCCCGCAAAATTTATGTTCAACCAATTTGGAATATACCGTAGATATACATTCATGTATATTACCGGAATATTTGTTTTAAACATACTAGGTATATTCACCTGCACATATACACAATATGTACATACCTGGCATGTTCATCTGCACATATACCCAATATGTACATATATGTACACACCTAGGATATACTTTTTATGAACTTTGATGAATATACATGCATGTATATTCCACGGACATTCATGTTAGGAATGTTCAACCATGTATATTCCCGCAATGCTCTGTATATTTTTTGAACATTCTAGGATATTCATAGAATATCAAATGCTATCTGGGAAGAGGAAAATCTTAAGAATTGTCGGACTAGATGTCTATATTAATAGATGAGTCGTTGCTGGGTTTGAAAAGAACGCTAGATGTGAGCAACTATTCGTTTTTTGACCTCGTGAGAACAAAGTGAAGGTTTAGCGCAATTTTCGTCAAATTTTCACGGTTTTCAGGCTCAATTATCGTCTGTGGATTGTGCCAAAAAAAGCAAACAAAGCGGGTTGTGTGAAAAAAAAAATTCAGCTTTTAGGCCATGAGAAAAGAAATCAGGATTTAGTGCGATTTTAAATAAATTTTCAGTGGTTTGAGATACGTTCCTTTTCTATAGACTGTGAGAAATCCAATAAAACCTTCTAGAAGAAAACTAAATATAAATAATTCGTTCTTATTGCGAAATAGGAGCACTATTTATCAATCTGTAATAAAAAACGTGAGGAAATTCTGTCTTATTTAAAGACACAAATTTTTGAGGCAAAATACCCAAAAAGACTATATATAGTCGGGCAACTTTTTGACTACTTTGA